CCAGGCCATGGCTAAGCCACCGTGGAAAATGCAGATTCAGCTTAGGCAGAAGGGCCTCCTTTGGCCCGAAAAGAAACGGAGAGGATAACCCCTCATTCCCAGCCTGTCCTCGACTTTTGTTCGCTACAATTCCTTTTCCTATCACCGTTGTCACGGATCGGCACAATGGAACTGTGTAATTTACCAGGTATAAGCTCCTGAGCAACCCTCAGGGCAAGCAATCAGTCCCTTCCAGACCAACAGAGATCACGTGTCGACATCACAAGACACCTGATTATAACAGTCGAGGGGGTCGAAAGTGGGGGTTGGTCTGAGCCCATCGGCGATCCCGGTGGGACTTGAGACGGGGCTGGGTAGGGAGGTTGGACAAAAAGATAGCGGGTTTGGAAGGAGGCGGGTTGCGGAACCTCTCAGCAGGTCCACCCCACCTGGGAGAGCAATTTCCAAAAGGTACATTGCACATCTCTTGCATCGCGGATGCACGCGCCAGGCACAAACACCACTGCTGCCTAAACTGCTGCGACACCCTGGTGTGGTTTTTTTCCTCCCCTGTTGTTAATAGACCGTCACCCAATTTTGAACGACATGCAGCCGGCAGGTTCCCCAACTTTCTTCGTTCCTGTCTTAAGGCGTCTCGGCTTGCGTGCACGGGCGTAATAGTGTTGACCATCCCGAGCACTCCGGCGTCGCGACCTAAATGCCATTAACCCCCAGCCCATCCTCGGATTCTCAGTGGCGGTGCTCGTTGCCTGCTTTGGATGCCTCTGCGCGGTTCTGTCGGCATTTTCGTGGAAGCATGGAGCCCAAGCGAAGGTCGGGCACGAGTTGCATACGGGCGACGTTTTTGGCCAATAGTTTCGACAGCATGCTACCTGCACATTGGGTACATCTAGTTGCCACGAAATGTCGGCCTGGCGGCTGGGCATATGCGGCCCATCCAACCAGCCAGCAAATGCTCAGCCATCGAGCCATTTCCCCTCATTTGCCCCCTTCTGCTTTTTCGCTCATTCATCCTCCATATCGCACTGGCACCAACCACCAATACCGCAACGCCGGCACAAACCAGCACCAAAAGCACCATCATGGCCCTGTCCCTGCCGAGTGGACCTGCAAAGCAAATGGAGACTGGAAAGGACATGGAGCAACGGTTCAAAACGACAATTGACAACCTGGTCGCGGAGTGGGACGAGAAACTGTCCAAGGACGAGGACTGGGCCGACAAGGACAGAAGCGCCAAGATCAGAGAGATCTTCGTGAGCGAGATCTGGAGTCAAGTCAAGGGCGGTTACGACAAGATGCTGCAAGACCTTAAGGCGCATTTCAAGGCCCGTCTCGAAGCGAAGGACATCGCTGCCGACTTGTCTGCGAGGGTCAAAGACGTTGGCTCGATCAAGACCACCCTTGAGCGTCGGGAAAAGACCAAGCTTTTCGCAAGCATCAACGACGTCTTCATCGAGATGCACGACCTTGTGGGGCTCCGGATCGTGCCACACACTTCCGAATCCCGAAAAGAAGTTCAGGACTTTATCGACAAAGAGTTCCATCAGCTGAAACCAACGGCGCACATCTCGTCGGATCGCAAGGTCGGCGAATTCTGGGATGCGCGCTTCGGAGCCTACAAGTCCAACAACCATCGAATCGGTGCCAAGCGCAGGAAATTGGGGCATGGGGATTACTGTGAAAGTTTGTCATCCTACGAGGGCGTCATGTTCGAAGTCCAGGTGGCATCCTTGGCCGACGTGCTCGGCAACATCCTCGCGCACCCGCTCCAGTACAAGAAGAAGCACGGCCCGCTCGACAAGCGAACGGAACAAACGCTGGACCTTTTGAGGGGAACCTTTAAATTCCTTGACGTGCACCTTGAGCAGTTTTTCGACGCGTACGATACCATGCTCGAGGAGAAGGCGATCGAGGCCGAGTCTGGCTCGGGCTCAGGGCGAGTCATGACCAAGGCAGCCAAAGCTGCTGCCTTAGGTGATTTGGGCAAGATGAGAGCAGATGTGGCAGCGGCTGTCACGAAAGCTCTCGAGGAGCGTATGCACCATTTGGCGGACGGAGTACCAGATACGCCTTCCGGTGCGCCTAAATATTGGCGTCATATAAAAGAGCTGAGCAGTCAGTTCAAGTATGTTTCTTATCTCTTTTCCCGTTTCCATCCACTTCTTTTTTGACTTTACTTTTTACTTTTCGCACCAGTCGCCCCCTTTTCACCCTTCCCCCCTACGTCCACCTTCCCCTACTATCTAGGTCGTTTTCATAAATTGCTTCTAACATTTTATCAGGGAATTCCAGCGCAATATCCAACAGCAACAAGACCGTCAATACCTGGAAAAGCTTCCAGTGGCAAAAGACGCTGTATTCGATGCCCAGGCGAACGAACACGACCCTAGCTGCCACCCCGACACCCGCGTGGACCTTCTCGCCGACATTCACAAATGGATCGAGGATCCCAACGGAAAATGCATTTTCTGGCTGCGTGGCATGGCCGGCACCGGCAAGTCGACCATCTCTCGAACGGTGGCCAAAAAGCTTTCTACGGCAAAGGTGCCCAGTGCGAGCTTCTTCTTCAAAAAAGGCGAGGGCGACCGCGGCAGCGCGGCCAAATTCTTCACCACCATACTCGCCCAGCTCGTCCGCCAAGTGCCGATCTTGGCATTACATGTCCAAAGCGTAATCGAAAACGATCCAGCCATCGTCGACAAAAACAAGAAAGAGCAATTCGAAAAGATCATCCTGGAGCCACTGAACAAGTGCAAGGTTGCTAGCTCCCCGCTGCTTGCTGTGGTGGTGGATGCTCTTAACGAATGTGATCGAAAAGAGGATGCGAAGGTTCTTGTATATCTTTTTTCGAGAGCTAGGGAGGTCGCGTTATTCCGTCTCCGATTCTTCGTTACCAGCAGACCCGAGTTGCCCATCCGCCTTGGCTTTAAAGAAATCGGCGACAACTACCAGAACCTGGCCCTCCATGAGGTTCCTAAGCCTGACATAAAAAGGGACATTTCCACATTTTTACACTCAGAATTAGACCGCATCCGTCAGGATTTCAATAAAACCGTACCAGGACCAGGTTTGCCATCTGATTGGCCCCCACCCGCCAGTTTTAAGGATCTCGTCAACATGGCTGTGCCGCTTTTCATCTTCGCATCGACGGCTTGCCGCTTCATTGCCGATAGCAACTTCGGCGACCCTGGGGAGCAGCTAGACAGAATTCTCGAGTACAAAACAAAGGGAGGATGGTTTCGACTGCACGCAACATACCTGCCAATTTTAAACCAGCTTCTTCTCAAGCGTACGGATACAGGGTTGGATAGACGTACAGGGGAAGAAGAAGCCCAAATCGTTGCGTGGTTTCGCGATATCGTTGGAACCATCGTACTACTTGCCGACCCTCTCCCCTCCGCATCGCTGGCACTTATCCTCGGCAGAACTCAGCACGACGTGAATTCGAAGCTGTGCACATTGCATTCTGTCCTTGATGTTTCAAATGATCCCCTGGTCCCTGTTAAACTGCTCCACCTGTCCTTTCATGATTTCCTCGTCGACCAAAAGAATCGCGATGCGAACACTTTTTGGATTGACGAACGAGAAACCCACAAGAAGCTGGCAGACCGCTGCCTAAAACTGCTGTCAACCGACAACAACCTTAAGAGGGATGTCTGCGATTTGCGTTACCCCGGCACGCTCCGATCCAAGATCGAGCCAGGGATCATCAATGACCACCTGCCACCCGAGGTCCAGTATGCCTGTCGATACTGGGTCCATCACTGGAAGGAAAGCAGACGGCAGATACGAGACGGGGATCCCGTCCATCACTTTCTGACCAACCATCTCCTATATTGGCTCGAAGCATTGAGCGTAATAGGGAGGATCAGAGAGAGCATCGGCATGCAAGATAGCCTTATAAATATGCTCGACGTAAGTACTTTTACCATTTCTTTTACAAATAAATACTAACACATCTTTAGCTAAAAAACAGTTTTTCAACTTCAACCCTTCTTCGTGACCTACGGCTGTTTCTGCAGAATACTAGCGCTATTGTCGATGCATCACCTCTCCAAATCTACTACTCGGCCCTGGTGTTTGCACCAGAAAAAAGCATAGTTCGGGAACTATGGCGTAAAGAATTTCCGAATTGCATTTCATTACTGTCACCAGTGGATTTGGATTGGAATGTGTACCAGACGCTCGAGGGGCACAGCAGCTGGGTCAGGTCTGTCGCGTTCTCACCCGACGGCCAGAGGCTCGCGTCGGGCTCTGACGACAAGACCGTCAAGCTCTGGGACGTGGCGACGGGCGCGTGCCTGCAAACGCTCAAGGGGCACAGCAGCGGGGTCAACTCTTTCGCGTTCTCGCCCGACGGCCAGAGGCTCGCGTCGGGCTCTAACGACAAGACCGTCAAGCTCTGGGACGTGGCGACGGGCACGTGCCTGCAAACGCTCAAGGGGCACAGCAGCGCGGTCAACTTTGTCGCGTTCTCGCCCGACGGCCAGAGGCTCGCGTCGGGCTCTGACGACAAGACCGTCAAGCTCTGGGACGTGGCGACGGGCGCGTGCCTGCAAACGCTCAAGGGGCACAGCAGCGCGGTCAGCTCTTTCGCGTTCTCGCCCGACGGCCAGAGGCTCGCGTCGGGCTCTGACGACAAGACCGTCAAGCTTTGGGACGCGGCGACGGGTGCGTGCATAACGACGCTCGATGGGTCAACTTCCACTCTATCATTTGATGACACAGGCTCGTACCTCCAAACAGATTTTGGGACTAAATTGCTACAAAAGCAACCAGCTGCTGGTCCAGCAGCGGTTCAAGCTCATTTGCAGCACCAAGATTTTGAGGGTATTGGCATCAGTGCTGATAGAGCATGGATCACCTGGAATGGAAAGCACTTTTTGTGGCTGCCTACTGAATATCGTGGGCAGTATACAGCCGTAGCAGGATTGACAATAGCTTTAGGCTGTTCATCCGGGCGGGTGTTGTTCTTCCAGTGGTCAGGAGCCACTTGATAAAGTTTCCTTGCGTTCAATCCTCTTTTTTCTTTTCTCTTTGCCCGTTCCCGGGCCGCAGGGGACCGCGCATTTTTATAGGTTTGTGCTGCTCTTGAAGAATATGTTGGGACCGTCTAGTGTTTTCCATTGACTCAGTGACGAACGTGTTTTGCCACCCCATTTGTCACGGCTGGTAAAGGGTCCGGCCGTCACGTGACCCTGGATCACACGCCGCACTAGATAACCCCGACTCCCACAGTGATAGGCGTGCACAAACGTCATGAAGATGAAGTCTTCGTCTGTCGATCTGGGGAGATCGCAGCGGGTCTATCTAGGTGCCTGGAGGCCCGTGCACGGGCGGTCGACCCACAGGTCCGTGGACCTATCACACAGCCGGCCCTACGGGCCTGCACGGGAATACCATCTTTTTGCTCTTCCATATACCAGACTGTGACGGCCCAGGGCAATTCCTGCATGATAGCTCCATGGACCTATCGGTCGGCCCGTGCACGGTCCTCCAGGTAGATAGACCCGCCGTCGATCCCTTCAAATTAATGGACGGTCGACTGTCATCTCGTTTTCTCTCTGATAGTATCATGGACCTGTAGGAGTGATAATTGAGGGGAGCAGAAAGATGATATATCGGAAAGACCGGCCCGCAAGGCCCGTATGCGCGAGGGCCGGATATTCCTCGTGCGGGGTCACGTGCAGTGTGGCCGCCTATCTAATCGATCGCTGCGATCGAGAACTTCTGCTGGATACAAGAGACCCTACAGGCCGTGACAGATAGGTACCCTATGCGGGCGCACTCCGCGCACCGCGCGCACCGCACGCATATCACTGCACGCCTGGGGCATCCATGGATCACGGGGCTCAGGGCATCGCACGTGACACGAGGTATTGTACCACCTTTTCTCTCGCACCGCGCCTCTCTTCCTTTCCCCTCCCTAGAAGAGTCTTTGTCCATGGCATCAATTAAACCTGGCCGCGAAGCCTATTCTCCGTGATCGTAACACCAGACCCCTAGTCGCTGCGAGACCATGGCAGTACATCGCAGATATAAGCAGGCAATTGCAAATAAAGAAGTTTTGGCTACATCTGTTGGTTCGTCATTGTCACAGGCCTGCAGAGCGACGCAAGTAATCCTACAAGTAGACCTCAGAATTGAGATGAGAGGGAAAGGGGAATCTATAGATGCG